CAAGACTGCGGCATTGGCGGCTTCCCCTTTGCCTTTCGGACACCCTTCATTCATTGCTGGGCCTCCTGGGGGGGGCTCTCCTTAGCCCCCGCAGCAGCTGCGGGGTCTGTGTCAAGTTACAGAGGGATCCAGTGTGTGTGTGTGTGGGGGGGGGAAACTTGGGCTCTGGTACTCTTTTAAGTCGCTGCTAATTAGATCTCTCTTTCCCCCTTGATGTTGTTGGTATTGCTCTTTGCAGATTAAAATTAAAAAAAAAAAAAAAAACAACCCAGCCCTATTGCCTTCTTAGTCCTGATGGGATTAGGAACTGCCTCGGTTGGGTTTTCAAAAGGACCCATTGGCTCTGGCCACCCTCCCATTTAGAGAGCCCAACCTGCTAATAGAGGGGGGAGGGTGTCTTTGCTCTGGGTAACGCTTTCAGAAGACCACTGCACCCTCCCTTGCAAGGAGAAGCAGGTTATAGCTGGGTGAGTGTTGTGCTCCGAAGTAGGGGTGGCTAGATAACTATATTTGAATTCATCTTCTCTTAAGAAAGTGCCATTCTTTGGGTCTTTAATCCAAACACTGTCCATCTTACGCAGCCTTTCCTCCCCCCCAAAGGGTACAAACCAAGATAGGGGTTAGATCCCTCCAAACTCTAAAGGCAGCTCAAGATCCTCCTTTAGAAGGAAACTCTATTTCTAAATGTATAACTATCTTTACAGAATAGTTATCATTCTTGGTTAAAACTATCTCCAGAGACCAGTGGAATTTACGCATGACTGGGATATTTGAATAAATAAATGAATAAAGTTGCTTGTTCTAAATGATCATTCGTTTGGAAAGATAGGCGCCTAGATTAGCTTCTATAGTTTTCTTGGTATTGTTTTTGGGAAGTGGCTTGCCATTGCCTTCTTCCTAGGGCTGAGAGAACGTGACTGGCCCAAAGTCACCTAGCTAGCTTCATGCACAAGGCAGGACTAGAACTCCCAGCTTTCTTGGTTGAAGCCTGACACCTTAACTACTACACCAGATTGGACACAGTTAAGTAGGAAAGCTGAACTGTGACAGTAAAGATGGTTTGGAGTCACCCAACATCTTAGGCTAGGTTGACTAATAGTTGCTTAGTTATTGTCTATTTCTTAGCTTGGAATCTTCTACAGTTCAATAAACCTTGGTTTAGCAAGCTGTGTGAACACAGTACTTTCTCAAGACTAAAATCAGTCTCAGTTCAGGTTTATTTCAGTCCAGGAAATTTTCACTAAAATATACATTAATTTCTAAAGTAGCCTACCCATAGCAAAGTAATTCAGTTTAGTTGTAATTTCTGTTATATGCTGCTACCTTTTTTTTCTTTTTTCTTTTTTTTGTGGTTGGCCTCACTTTCTGAAAGAGTGGGAAACTTGTCCCAGCTATTCACAGTTTACAAAGTAAAAGTTTATTTGGAAGTAAACTGGGCAAAGATCAAACCGCATCTCTTTCTTCAAGAGCTTGAAATCTGAGTGTTGACGGGATGCATAATCTTTCGCTTACGATGGGGAAAGTAAAGTATTTTAATGACTTTTAATCAGAGGGAGCATGTGTAAATTAACAGTAACTTGGCCTTCAGAATGTGTGGGGACTAAGTGGGAGGTTGAGAAAGGGCTGCAGTTTTCAGGAGTCCTTACAATGACTCACTGCCTACGGCTTGCAACGTGGCTGATATTTTTTTAAAAAAAATCCACAGAAGCGCTCTCACCGTGTTACACAGATGGGGCTTGGGAGTTTTATCAAGTTGTATAACAGCTTTTTCCTTCCCAATTCTTCCTTGTAAAAAGACATTGTCACTGCCTATCCAATAACCTTATTTAAAAATCTAATAATGCTAGAAGCTTTTCATCCTTTTTAAGTTTTCTAAATCAATCAACCCTAACGCAGGCTGTCCTTGACTTACAACCACAACTGAGCCCAAAGTTTCTGTTAAGTGAGATGCTTGTTCAGTGAATTTTGCCCCGTGTTAACGACCTTCCTAAGCGAATTGCTGCAGTTGATAAGTTAGTAAGAAGGTTGTTAAGTGAGTCTGCCCCCCATTGACTTTGCTTGTCAGAAGGTCGCCAAAGGGGATCACGTGACTCCGGGACATAGCAGTGGTCATAAGTACGAACCAGTTGCCAAGTGTCCGGATTTTGATCACGTGAGCATGTTGCTGCTACGAAGGTCGTAAGTGTGAAAAACGGTCCTAGGTCACTTTTTTCAGTGCTGTGGTCAGTTTGAACGGTCACTAAATGAGCTGTTGTAAGTTGAAGGCTACCTGTATTTGCCGGCCGGCCTGCCTTCCTTACGGTGCAGTGTGTGGGAAATGGTCAGCTGCAGGTAACATTTCCCAACAAAGATGGGCAAAAGAATTAAGGTTAATTTGGAAGGATCATGTTGTAAAGAATGCAGAACTCTTTAAAGCTTTGTGTGTGTGTGTGTGTGTGTGTGTGTGTGTGTGTGTGTGTGTGTGTGTGTCTGTCTGTGCTTTGTGCCTGACATGTAAATCTGTATCCAGAGCATAAATAAAGCTGCACAACACCATGTACGTGGCTAGTTGTTCTCTACTAGAATGGATGTATTGTTGGGCTGCTAATAATAAAAAAAAACTGCCTGACTTACTGACTACACCAAAGTTGCCATAGTTGCCTTCCCCTGGACTACACTTTTAAAACAGCTGAGCTGAAAATGAAGGACTGCAAATATTGTAAAGATTGGTGTGCATGTGTGTGAAAGAGAGATCCATTATGGCCTCTGCCGTAAGTCCGGACATCTTTTATTAGTCTGTTTATTCTTGAAGGATAGCTGTGCTGTATAGTGACATAACTCCCAAAGTTTTGTTGTGGGCCAGCCATGTGTGGCTTGAGCAAACAAATGTAGGCCATGAAAATTCCAGCTTCTAATCTCCCTTGGTTCTTGTTGTCTTCAGGCAGGTAACACAATTTGTCATGACCTTTTGTGGGTTGATTGTAAACGTAAAAAGCGGTGAAAATGGTAGAGGACAAATGTTACTCATGCTTTATTTCAGGAGGTTTTGTTCTAGTCGCTTTTAAAGTTGGGTAGGGCTGTTCTTAGAATTTGAGAGTTGAAGCCTAATGACTCATGATGTCATAAGGTCTGGGTAAATTTTGAGTAGCTTCTTCCAGGTAGAAGAACCAGAAAGCTATGTTAAAAGCTTTTGTGTGTGTGTGTGTCTGCTTGCTTAATATACATATTGTGGTCACCGTATGACTTGGGGGGAAAAAGAGTTAATGAGCCATATTGAATGGTGTTCTTTCTTGCTGTAACATATGCAGGAGCATCTGACACAGAGGGAAACTTTTAACTCCGTGCCTTGCCGTCTTCGGTCCAAAAAATACTTTTAAGCCGTGACTGAAGTATAGCTAGCTTCAGAACGAACAGCCCCAAGGTTTTGCTAGGCCCACTTTGTGAGCAAAATAGGCAGCAAGAACTTGTGGCTGACTGGAAAATAGTTTCAGACTGAAGTTCAAGTTGTGTGAGACGATGAAAAGGGTGAACTGGGCTGTGTCCTTGAGTGGACAATCTGCACAGTTAGCAATAAAAGGCAGGGGAAAAAAACCCGTTAATTAAATGGCATATCTTTTTATTTGACTACCAAAGAATAGTGAACCGTTTTCCTGTACATCGAACTGCAAGTTATGAGTTTGCCCGATTGGCGGTTGATTCTGTTTCCATGCGGAAAAAGCAGTGGGCTGCTTTAGAGACAGTTGTTTTTTCTGACACCGATATTACTAGTTTTTCAGCTAGTGGTGCAGCAACAAGCTGAGCCCTTTTCTTCCTGTTAAAAACCTCAGCCACATTTGAGTGATACTATTTCAGAACACCCGGTTTGGTGCCTACAGCCAAATATGGCAGGCGGAAGTTCTTGAGGGGAATAAGAATAGAGGCGAACAAGATAGCGTTGTAATGTAACAGAAGACTTTCTAAAATAATGGCATCTCCATAGAAAGTGACGTCATCGAGCGAAGTCATAATCCAGGGGTCTTCAAACTTGGCCCTTTTATGACTTGTGGACTTCAACTCCCAGAATTCCTCAGCCAGGCACGCGTGCCTGGCTGAGGAATTCTGGGAGTTGAAGTCCACAAGTCATAAAAGGGCCAAGTTTGAAGACCCCTGTCATAATCTATGAAACTGAGCCATTGGAGAGGAGCATTTGGAAACCAGAGCATGTAGCTGGTATATGGGGGATCCACAAAAGGGTTGCTTTAATTGTACGAGCAGATAGTTTATAGGTTTTTCACATTCCGTGCAGCTATGAGCCACTATTGAAAATGTTTAACTAAGAGGTACCTAGAAATAATCGCTGTCCTTTGCTCTCCACTTTCATCTAAAATAGCATTTATTATTGAGGGGCATGTATTTCCTGGAATGTGCTAAGCATGCAAAATACCTCGATTTCTAATTCTGTTTTCACCCCAGTTGATTATGGATGCAGAAAGTCCTGTCCAGGACCGATTGGCAGACTGAATTATTTCAGATTCATTCCTCTTCGTAAAAAGTGCTTAATCTTTTGCTTTTTATAACTGGCTTCTTCACACTTTTTTTTTTGTTAGGAAGTAGCCCCCCAGCGGGACTATGTTTTTTTTTTTAAAAAAAAATATGAAATTATTTTTCATAACGACTCATCTCAAGTAGTGAAGTGAGTCCTTTATAAAGTTTCACCTTTTTGAAAAAATCCAGAGCAATACAAGGTTTTTCCCCAAGGGATGGACGATATATTTATTTAGACAGGCGAGGATTTGTTTTGACTTTATAGCTTTTTATAGAAGCTCCTATCCGTGAAAAGCACATAATGAGATAGAATCTGCTGGGTTGGAATGAGATCAGTGATGGATCCGGTCTGTCCAGCAGATCAAAAGGTTCCTAATGTCTAGTTCTGTGTGCGATTTTAAAAAAAAAGAAAAGAAAAAAACCACGATGCCGTTTAAATTTTAAGCCTGTCTAATGATTTGGGGTGCTTACCTGTGGCTTCTTTCTTTTTCCTTCAGTGTTTCACAGACTAAGATGGATGGTAGCTTTGATTGTGATTGTGGTGAGCTGGAGCCACCTGATCATTAACTAACAGCATCCCTGCAACACACACAAACATAAAAGGTCCCCTCTTCCTTAGCGAACGAGACTGTAAAACAGAGGTGGAGAAGAGGAAGATCACCCTTAGAATGAAGCTGCTCAGGATCAGTCCAACACTGAATGTATCTGCACTGTGAGGAGGATGTTAACGCAAGCCTATTACATGCCTATTTATTCACATTTTTGTTAAATGTTGACCAGTTTGGCACAGTAGAGCGAAGGGCATAAGATGCCACTTCGTTCCATTTGATTTTACCCGGCGTTTCCTTTGGATGTCTGCGGATGTGCTGCACCTTCCTTCGAACTATGAATGCTGCGATCTCTTTCTCTCTACTCAGCCTGATCTGTAAAGCGTGTTAAGTTCTTAATTCTAAAAGGGGAAACCATCAAGCCTGACTGGCTGACCCTGGAATGAGAGCCCCAAGAAGCCACCCAGCAGTCAACCTGGCCTTCTTCTATTCTACAAGAGCCCGGCAGTCCACCAGTGGAAGCATCTCTCTATACTTGTAGGAGCGGTAATAGTTTTAAGAGGGAGGAAAAAGGATACGGATTCTTTTTCTTTCTTTCTTTCTTTTCTTTCTTTTTAAGCAAAAAGATGGCAGAGAAGTTCGAAAGTCTGATGAACATTCATGGCTTCGATGTAGGTTCTCGGTATATGGACTTAAAACCCCTGGGCTGTGGTGGCAACGGCTTGGTTTTTTCTGCCGTCGACAACGATTGTGACAAGAGAGTGGCCGTCAAGAAGATCGTCCTCTCCGATCCTCAGAGCGTCAAGCATGCTCTGCGGGAGATCAAAATTATCCGGAGGCTCGACCACGATAACATTGTCAAAGTTTTTGAAATCCTTGGCCCCAACGGGAGCCAGCTGACCGATGACGTTGGCTCTCTGACAGAACTGAACTGTGTTTACATTGTCCAAGAGTACATGGAGACCGACCTGGCGAACCTGGTGGAGCAGGGGCCCTTACTGGAAGAACACGCTCGGCTCTTCATGTACCAGCTGCTACGGGGGCTCAAGTATATTCACTCGGCCAACGTCCTGCATAGAGACCTCAAACCAGCAAACCTGTTCATTAATACGGAAGACTTGGTGCTGAAAATCGGGGACTTTGGCCTTGCGCGGATCATGGATCCTCATTATTCTCATAAGGTAAATAAAAACAAGCAGCTGTTTTCTTTTAAAATGGGGGGGGCAGACACATTTCCAGACCAGTTTGTCACAGGTGATGCTTAATATCTGGTGTAATAATGATGATGATGATGATGATGATGATGATGGAAGGGACCTTGGAAGTCATCTAGTCCAACCCCCTGCTCAGGCAGGAAAGCCTACGCCATTTCAGACAAATGGCTGTCCAGTCTCTTCTTTAAAACTTCCAGTGTTGGAGCATTCACCACTTCTGGAGGCAGGTTGTTCCACTGATTAATTGTTCTAAGTGTCAGGAAGTTTCTCCTTAGTTCTAGGTTGCTTCTCTCTTTTGTTAGTGTCCATCCGTTGCTTCTTGTCCTGCCTTCAGGCGCCTTGGAGAATAGCTTGACTCCCTCTTCTTTGGGGCAGCCCCTGAGATACTGGAAGACTGCTAACATGTCCCCCCTTGTCCTTCTCTTCATTAAACTAGACATACCCAATTCCAGCAGCCAGTCCTTACATGCTTTAGCCTCTGATCATCTTTGTTTTCCATAACTTTGTGGCTTTCATGCTTTGGGCATTTGAATCTTGCCAAGACCACGTGCGCATCTTAAGCAAGATTCTTTATCCTTTCATAAAAGCGACGTGCAAAATCTTGTTCTTCGGTCAGCATGTTTAGCTGCTTTACATTAATCCTTTACATTAGCGTGGTTAGATAACGTACAGTCTCTTTCTTGGACAGTCCTGTATCTCCGGCATTTGTTGGAGATGTTTTTAATCACTGGTGTGAAGACCAGCCATCAAGCCTAACACTTTAGGGAGGTGTTGAGGAAGGCTGCCCTTGATAGCCTTAGAAAAGACAGCTTCCGTTTCATGTTTGATTGATTTATGAATTTCGCTCCACAAGGGCTCTCTTTGCAGAAGAATGTTCTATAGCTTTAGAAGCCTAGCTGGGATTGTTATCTATAAAAGCACTGTTAAAACCGATCCCTTCAGCAGCAAATATGGTAGCCTTTGCTGTAGACTTTGATGCTCCTGAAGGCTTTGAAAATTGATATGCTGGCTCACTCTTAGAGGCCAGGGATTGTCACCTGTCTGTTTCTAGGCACACAATTAAATAATTGGTTCTCAGTTATATATCTGTCCCTCCTAAAGCAGGCTAAAGCATTTGAGGTGTATAGGGTTGCAGGTATCTCCATGTATACAATAGTAAAGTGTTAAAAAGTCCCTAATGGATGCCATACAGGTTCTTGTGCACAAACGAAAAGTAATTTGAAAGGCTTTCGTGAAAAATAGATTACTGCATCCAGTTTTGGTCACCACGATGTAAAAAAGATGCTGAGACTCTAGAAAGAGTCCAGAGAAGAGCAACAAAGATGATTAGGGGACTAGAGGCTAAAGCATATAAAGAACGGCTGCTGGAATTGGGTATATCTAGTTTAATGAAGAGAAGGACGAGGGGGGACATGATAGCAGTGTTCCAGTATCTCAGGGGCTGCCCCAAAGAAGAGGGAGTCAATCTATCCTCCAAAGTGCCTGAAGGCAGGACAAGAAGCAACGGATGGAAACTCATCAAGGAGAGAAGCAACCTAGAACTAAGGAGAAACTTCCTGACAGTTAGAACAATTAACCAGTGGAACAACCTGCCTCCAGAAGCGGTGAATGCTCCAACACTGGAGGTTTTAACGAAGAGACTGGACAGCCATTTGTCCGAAATGGTGTAGGGTCTCCTGTCTGAGCAGGGGGTTGGACTAGATGACCTCCAAGGTCCCTTCTAACATCATCATCATCATCATCATCATCATCATCATCATCATCATCATCATTATTATTATTATTATTATTATTATTATTATTATTATTATTATCTGGCCTGCTTGCACCATCATCATCATTAGATTTTTATTCTGCCCTTTTTTATGCATAACTTAAGAGGGCAAACATACATAATGCTCTCACTTCCTACTTTCCCCACAGTAACAGCTCTGCACGGTGGGCTGGGCTGGTGCAAAATCACCCAGCCTGGTTTTCATGCCTAAGGAGGCCTGATTTCTAGGCCAGCCCCTTCACCACAACGCCAGACTGACTGTCATGTTTACTTAAACGGAAAAAAAATAGTGCAGAATTAGTCTGCAAGCATTGTACAAGATTTGGTTGATTATGCAAATATTTCATGACGTAAGAAAACTCTTCCAGAGAATGACTAAAAACCGCTCCGGCCACCACAATAACCCTATGAGTACAGGCTAAACTGAGTCAGGATAGAGGCTTGGTATCGGGGTGGAGTCGGGCCCATTCCCCAGAGCCCGCGCAACTCACGGAGACTTGAAAGACTCACTGCCACGTCTCTGTAAAAATGCTTGTGGCAACCCAGCAGAATAAATGGCAGGAGGAGCTTGAAGGAAGGTGGAATGCACGGGGATCCAATCGAAAGCAAGCAGCGTCTCTCTCTTTCTGTTTCCCAGGGTCATCTTTCTGAAGGACTAGTAACTAAATGGTACAGATCACCTCGCCTCTTGCTATCACCCAACAACTACACCAAAGCCATTGATATGTGGGCTGCAGGCTGCATCTTTGCTGAAATGCTGACAGGCAAAACTCTCTTTGCAGGTTGGTAAAGACTAACAGATACAACCCTGTCCCTTAAAAACGGGCGGATGAATGCCATGGGTGGCAGGGAAGCCCCTTTGCCCCAAGAGATGGGTGGTGGATAGCGACGTCCCGGCTACGGGAAGGTTCCAGGGGGCAACGGTGCCTGCTGAGGGTGCCATGATAAGGAATCCCAGAGTACTGTCATATTCATTCGTTTATTTAAAGGTATCGATCATCCAACAGCAAGGGAGTAGCCTTGAGTTAGATCAGCGGTTCTCAACCTATGGGTCGCGACCCCATTTGGGGTCGATCGACCATTTCACGGGGGTCGCCAAGCAAGGCTGTCCGCCATTTTTTTCCCCTTTTCCAGCGGGTGCCTTACCTCCCTTGGGCTGGGCCAGCTGGTGGTCGGCCTGCTCCGTCTCTGCCACTTGCCAGCTACGCCTCAGCCGGCGCAGGGGGCGGAACCACGCATGTGCGGCGCTCCCGGGCAGGAAAAGTCCTCAACTTACGACCGGTTGGGTAGTCCTCAACTTACGACCAGTTTAGTCCTCGACTTACGACCGGTTTAGTCCTCGACTTACGACCGGTTTAGTCCTCGACTTACGACCGGTTTAGTCCTCGACTTACGGCCAGTTGGGGGTCGCAGCATTAAAAAGGTTGAGAACCACTGAGTTAGACGGTTCTCAAATGTAGCTGACGTTTTTGCTTCTTGTCTGCTCCTCTAGGCGCCCATGAACTTGAACAGATGCAGCTGATTTTGGAATCTATTCCCGTTGTGCATGAGGAGGACCGTCAGGAACTTCTTAGTGTAATCCCAGTTTACATTAAAAACGACATGACTGAGCCACACAGACCTTTAACTCAGCTGCTCCCAGGCATTAGCCCCGAAGGTAACGCAGCTCTTCTCTCTCTCTCTCTCTTTTTTTTCCCCCCTTCCTCACTCCTCCTTGTTTACGTTAGACTTTGAGCCTGTGGTCAGGATGACTTTGACTGTTGTGGTGCACAGTGTACAAGGCCCTCTAAAACAAAGAACAAACCTCTGGGCATACCATGTACTGCTCTTTTCCAGTTCCGGAACATCATGGAGCCAAATGTATGTCTGCATCTATTATTCTCCTTGGGCTGTTAACTCAAAAGAGTTACAACAGAAATTCAGCACTTTTGCACGGAGGAGTTGATTTGTTCTCCATCAAGGGCCGAAACATTTGCATCATAATGGGCAGTAGATAAAATAGATAAGATAACCTTTAATTGTCTTTTTTTTTTTACTGTGGGCACAATGGCACACATCAAAAATGAAATTTAGTTGCCCGCTCTCAAAGTGAAACAGATGACGCACACCTAAACATACTATGAACAATATATGTATAGACCCACATCCCTACATATACGTAGCAAATAAATATTAAATACTGTCCATCTTGAATATATAATGGAAGGAGGAAGCTTGAGAGTTCACAAGGTTAATGCTGTATGGAATGAAACTGTGGCTGAATCTGGATGTTCTGCTACAGATACCACGAAGTCTCCTTCCAGAAGATCAGGGAAAACAGGTCGTGAAGAGGATGTGTAGTGTCCCAGATAATCTTACGGACCCTGCTCAAACAACGCTTATATGCCATGTCCTGGATGGGAGGGAGGGAGGGAACTGCCAATGATCTTTTCAGCCATTCTCACCACTCTCTGTACCGCCTTCCTGTCTGAAGCAGGGATGCTTCCAAACCAGACTGTGATGCTGTATGACAGGATGCTCTCGATCGTCCCCCTGTAGAAAGTGGTCAGGACAGGGGAAGGAAGATGTGCTTTTCTCATGCGACGCAGAAAATGCAGGTGCTGCTGTGCCCGCTTCACCAGTTTCTCACTGTTGAGCGACCAAGTCAGCCTACTCGTTAGCTGCACACCCAGGAATTTGACGCTGGTAACCATCTCCACAGGTGAATCATTAATGCACAGAGAAGTGTGGCTGTGCCTGCCTTTTCTGAAATCAACAATGATCTCTTTGGTTTTTCCGGTATTTAAAACTAGGCTGCTTTCCTTGCACCAGTTCACCAAGCCCTCAACCTCCTTGAGGTAAGCTTCCATCTTGTCATCCTGAATAAGGCCCACTATTGTGTCATCTGCGAACTTCACAATATGGTATTTCATAAAAGTACTGTTTTAACGTGGACCTCAGTGTTAAGCTACTCGCCGTGTCTGATATTTTAAGTCTCAAACTGTTCATTTGGCTCATTGCCAACCCGCTATTATCTGTGCATTTTATTTTCTGTTGTTCCATCATATTCATTGCTGGTTATAGCAGTGAGAGACATAGCCAAACAGGTGCTACACAAATGCCAGGGTGGAGAAGATGTCCTACGTCAGAAGGAAAAAGGGGGGGGGGGGAAAGGAAAAATTCCCTTATTTGCATTACATTTTAATCATTAAATCTGTAGTGGTGCAGTAGGTTAGAATGCAGCATTGCAAGCTGATTGTGCCCACAGCCAGGAGTTCGATCCTGACAGGGCTCAAGGTTGACTCAACCTTCCATCCTTCTGAGGTCAATAAAATGAGGACCCAGATTGGTGCAGGACAATATGCTGACTCTGTAATTCGCTTAGAGACGGCTGCAAAGCACTGTGAAGCGATACATAAGTCTAAGTGCTATGGTTATTGCTTTTTCTGGTTTCAGAAATATGAAACACTTAGCAGTGTGACCCTAGATAATAAAAGATGTAGTCTTGATATTGTGTTCAAATAAATAATAATGATGATAAAGTTGGAAGGGACCTTGGAGGTCTTCTAGTCCAACCCCCTGCTCAGGCAGGAAACCCTATCCCATTTCAGACAAATGGCTGTCCAGTCTCTTCTTAAAAACTTCCAGTGTTGGAGCATTCACCGCTTCTGGAGGCAGGTTGTTCCACTGGTTAATTGTTCTGACAGGAAGTTTCTCCTTAGTTCTAGGTTGCTTCTCTCTTTGGTTAGTTTCCACCCATTGCTTCTTGTCCTGCCTTCAGGTGCTTTGGAAAATAGCTTGACTCCCTCTTCTTTGGGGCAGCCCCTGAGATATTGGAAGACTGCTATCATGTCCCCCCCCTCGTCCTTCTCTTCGTTAAACTAGACAGACCCAGCAACCGTTCCTATGATTTTATTTTTTAAAAAAATGTTTGGCTTTATCCTCTGTAGCTTTGGACTTCCTGGAACAAATACTGACCTTCAGTCCCATGGACCGATTGACAGCAGAAGAAGCCTTATCTCACCCTTACATGAGTATTTATTCCTTCCCAACTGACGAGCCCATTTCAAGTCACCCTTTCCACATTGAGGATGAAGTGGATGACATTGTGCTGATGGATGAAAGTCACAGCCACATCTATAACTGGGAAAGGTAAACGTTTGGGAAATTATTTTGGGTACTTGTAGTTTTGTTTGAAATACCAGCTGATGATAAAATAGTCGGAAGCCATGTGGTGTGAGATCAGGGGTAGGCAACCTTGGCTCTTTTATGACTCGTGGACTTCAACTCCCAGAATTCCTGAGCCAGCACATGCTGACTCAGGAATTCTGGGAGTTGAAGTCCACGAGTCATAAAAGAGCCAAGCTTGCCTACCCCTGTGTTAGATGCTCCTAAAATACACATCTGGCACAAACATTTCAGGGCATCTTAAAGACCAAGTGTTTTCTCAAGTTGCCTGCAAAGATAGTCCTTCGTTTGCACCCATAATTGAGCCCTGAAATAATCATTAGTTCTTGGCAGTTGTAAGTCAAGGCAGCAAGTGACCAGCACTTTTTGGGGCGGTTGTTAAGTGAACACCCAGGTTGTTAAGCAAAAATGGGTTGTTAAGTAGCTTTTGTGGGACTCTCTTGTAACTTCAAATAGTCACTAAGTGACTGGTCATAACCTGAAGACTGCCTGTATGCTATCACTGAGAAGTTCTCCCAGTTAAAACTGCGAGAAACGCACCTGTAAAACGGTTCGACTTAAAAATGTGGTGTTATCCCCAATTCTTACGAAATTAAATGGATGCTTCTCGTGGACTCATGTAAAGGTATTCACGATTGCAGGTATCACGAGAGCCAGTTCTCAGACCATGAATGGCCTGTTCATAACAACTTTGAAGCTGATGAAGTTCAGCGAGATCCGAGGGCTCTTTCGGACGGGACCGACGAGGAGGAAGTCCAAGTAGACCCGCGGAAATATTTGGATGGCGATCGCGAAAAGTACCTAGAAGATCCGGCTTTTGATACCCACTTCTCCACCGAGCCTGGTTGGCCGTACCCAGATCACCACGAAAACAAGTATTGTGATCTGGAATGTAACCATACGTGTAATTACAAAATGAGGTCCTCTTCCTATCTAGATAACTTAGTCTGGAGAGAAAGCGAGGTCAACCATTACTATGAGCCCAAGCTTATCATAGACCTTTCCAACTGGAAGGAGCAGAGTAAAGAGAAGTCAGATAAAAAAGGCAAGTCCAAGTGTGAGAAGAATGGATGGGTGAAAGCTCAGATAGCTCTCAAAGAAGCTTCCCAGCAGCTGGCGGGAAAGGAGAAGAGTCAAGGCTTTGACTTTGATTCGTTCATAGCGGGAACAATTCAGCTTAGCTTGCAGCACGAGCCGACCGCGGTCGACAAGTTGAACGGCCTCAATAGCTCCGTGTCCCACCTAGAATCCAAAGGCCTGTCTAAATCGGTCAGTCGAGAGAAACAGCAGAAAGGAATGGCTAACTTGGCCCAACTGGAGGCCCTCTACCAAAACTCCTGGGAGGGTCAGCTGGTCAGCGGCGGGGAAGAGTGCTTCCTCATAGATCAGTTTTGTTGCGAAGTCAGGAAGGATGAGCAGATGGAGAAAGAGAACCCCTACCCCAGTTATCTCGACAGGTTCTTTAGCAAGAAAGACCCCGAGATGCTAGAAGCTGAGCCAGCCGAAGATGGAAAACCTGGGGAGAAAGAGAGAGAGGGGAATTTCCTGAGTAATAGCGGAGAATTTCTCTTTAACAAGCACCTTGAAGCTATTGCGATTCCCCAGTTTCCCACCCCTGTTGGCTCACCCCTTAAGTCCTTGCAGGCTACCCTCACCCCTTCTCCTATGAAGTCATCTCCTCAGATCCCCCATAAGACCTACAGCAGCATTCTGAAACACCTAAACTAAACAGCAGACATTTCTCTCTTTTTTTTTTGTACTCGCGAAATGTGTTCCTTTTTATTATTATTATTATTATTATCCTTATCCTAAGTAGTCTTTTTTTTTTACTTGAAATCAAATGATGTAACTTCGCTATGGATTTCCTTAGTTTTTCTGTTTACCATTGTTTTTAAACGATCCGAAATTCCTTTTTCTTAACATGACGATGTTTTGTTAAAACCGGCATGTCGTTTGCACACAAGGGTATATTAAAGAAAAGAAAAAAAAAGAAAAGAGCTTGACAATGCAAATTAGAGGAGGAGGGGGGGGGAAAGAAATGCACTAAACCAGTAGAAACACTCTCCTTTTGAACAACTCGTCCTTTGCAGAGGAAAAATAAGAACCTTGCCTTGAAAAATCACACCGTGAAGACTCTTCTTAGTTGCATGAAAAAAAAAAATCTATTTCCCCCCCTCCCCCGAAACATTTTTTCATTCATATGTATTTTAGAATTTTTCATACTGTACACATTTCTTCAACACATGATACCAGCAGCAACTGTAAACGAATGCAGAATTTGGTACGCATGTGTGTTCTACCTCAAGGTAACCGCAGTATGTGGCAAGCATTCAACCACCCCTAGTGCTTATCATAATGCACTTCTATTTAGCCAGCATTATTGTAGTAGGTGGTATTATGGAGAAGAAGAAGAAAAATACATTCAATATTTATAAATATTCTGGTATGCATACTTTATAGTGGAAATGTTAATATGCAGCGTTTTTATTTATTTTAGCAGATTATATTTTCTGTAACGGTAGAAAAAAGTCGAATTCTTTTGGACTTGCTTTACAGATGAAGTTCTTACTAGCACTGTGGTTTGTTGCCTACATAGCTGAAATAGAGATGAAATAACATCCCCCCTATTTTGAGGTGATCCGTGTGAGTTTTTTTTTTTTCAAAGAGATTTCCCTTCAAGTAAAATGTGTATAGGAATTTGCAATCTGGAGGTGCTCTCTCTCTCTCTTTCTTTCTCTCTCTCTCTTTCTCTCTCTCTCTCTCTCCCTCCCTCCAAAGGAATTAGGAATAGTTTTATCATAAAATGCTCCTAGAAGTCTTAATTGTGTTATCTTTTTTTAAAAAAACAAACAAACAAACAATTTTTGTAATGTTAGTTGTGTGCATGGAAAACAATTAAGGTACAACATTACTGTAGGTTAAAGTTCTAAATGGTCAGGCCTTTTGTTTTTAATTGTATGTTTTTATGAATGACGCTTCTGTCTCACCTGCCCAAATAAGCATGAGTATTAATTAGGTTAAATGTAGCATGTAGCATCTCCGTCTTCTGGCAGTTGGTTTTGCCTTCTGGGTTTTGGGGTGGGTGGGTTTTGCTTTCATATTTGGGAAACTTGTGTACCATTGGCTCCCCTGTTTCAAAGAAAGAAACGAATAAAAAACACGGCCAGCAAAAACGCATCTCGTGGTCTCCACAGGTAAATGCCTCAGGTGGACTTGCCGACCTTCCCAACCCTGAGCGGCCCATATTGGAGGCCTGTTTGGAGGTCTTGAAACTGGACACAAGGCCCTTCATAAGCAGCCCTAGTAGAAAGGTTTTCCTTGCATGTGTTTTTTACCCAGCTTATAGAGCCTGCTGGCTGGGGAATTCTGGGAGTCGAAGTCCGCCCAGCTTAAAGTTGCCGAGGGGGAGAAATACTAATTGAGCACGTGGCCACCATTGCAGTGCTGTGCAGGGGAGGTCGCTCTTCCCTCACGGCCGGCGAGTCCGATACCCACGCCTTAAATCCAGATGTTCTCTTGTGTTTGAAACCGGGGTGAACATCTGGATAAACTGCATCTGATTAGGATGAATATGTCACAACTTGCACTGCAGTGCTATGGAGATGGAGGCATTTCTACGAAGAGGTTTATTTTATGTGGGCTCCCTATGATATTCAAAATGCCCTTTCGGTCGCAGAGTTTTGTCCAAAAGAATAAACACAGGACCGTAAGGAGGATTGATCTGGGCTCTTTTTGCTGCTATAATTAGAAAGAAAGAAAAAATCCTTGGTGTTCCAGAAATTTAAGTTGCCCTGAGTGTTTACCTCATGAATTTCCTTCCTAAGCCATATCCGATCAAGAATACGATAACAGCAGATACGACATCTTACTAGGTTTGTTCCAATCCTGGACATCTTTGGCCCATGCTAGAGGGTCAATAGCTGAAGAACATAGTTTTGTGGACAAGCATTAGAGCTACTTCCTGGTTCGATTTTGCACCTAAGCTTACTCTGAATTTCTTAAGTGTGCAGGAACACTTGATAAAAAAATATTTTTTTTTGAGACATTGGCTCTGAGCCATTGATGATAGAATAGCTTTATCCATGAGTATTCCTGGCCACACTCTGTGCATCACCATGGCACAATTGTATTTGTGGCACAATTACTTCATTGGTATCAATCTCATCATTACGTCCGACGCAAGGGGGTCAGTCCTATCATTATTGCAAGAATGTCATGGTGCATGGGTTGTGTTTGCACTCTCCACCAATGGGCATCTGTGCGGAGGGGGTGCCGCTGACCAGTTTCGACATAGCTTGCATAGCTTGTTCACTGCTACTTGGATTCCTTCTACGTTACAAAAGTCTCTTCCTGCAACATCTCAGGTTGTTCTGCCACTTAACCCGGAACAATTGGTGGTCTTGGTGTGGGTGGATGAGTGGAAATCTATGGCTGGCAAGTCCTTCCCCCCCCCCCAAGTGATGCCGATTTGAGAACTGGAAGAGAATGGAGTTCATCTAATAAAGTTTCCAGTTCAAAACAAGTGAATAATAATCTTCAGTCTCCTGGATAACTTGAGACAACTGACACAGTAACTCGTAGGTATAAACACCCAAGAAACATTCAGAGAAAAGGAAGAGTGGAAAAATAAATAATTTCCCTGCAATATTTTTATTTCTTCTGTTCCAATTTCAGCTTTTCATGCAGTGGTGGTGGTGGAAATCCTCTTCTCCAACTCCTTTGAATCAAGTTTATTGCATGGCTTTTACTACAGAGACGGACACTTTCTCTGTGTAGCTGAGTTCTCTGTAGATCCTGCAGCAGTCAGCTATATTGCATTATCACTTTTAACTCTAAGCTGCAAAGAGGCCCCAATAGTCAGTGGGATTAAAATAAATCTAATATAATGGACCCAAAACACACCAGTAGTAATTAAATTCAGGGTTGGTTTTTTTTAAGCTAAATCCCCTTTAAAACAAAATCCTTTATTGTTCTTTAGTTGGGCAGTAAAGATACTTCATTTGAAGATATTTCAGTCTGCGGCGGTGCTACCATATAAAGTCTCCTTATGCTCTTGACCCTGGAGGATCTAGGACAGGACCTCCGATGCTTAGTGGGATCTATAGGGCAAAAGATTCCACGTTATTGCTTCCTTTTTTAGACTTGGAAAGTAGTTAATTGCACACACCAGACAATATTGGCCAGAAATCTCTCCTAGTCTAGCAGGTTCTTTGTAAGCTTCACCACAGTGCCCATCATTCCCCATCCCCACAGGGAATGGATTGGGCTGACCTCTGCCTCATCGTGATGGCTCCTGCACATAGCTTCGTGGGGAAAAATGTACATTCCCTGTAGCAGCAAAATGAGATCTAAATAAAATGCATTTTTGTGACAGCAATGAGTGAAGCTGTTGCTTCCATACTTTGTAGCTAACGTGGAAACATAGTTGGGCTTCGTTGAGATTCAAAATGACCCTTTTGATCCCATTCGTCTTGCATGACTTACTTAAGCTGAAGTATTTCTGTTCTAACAGCTGGTGTTTTTTTTTTTTAAAAAAAAAAACCTATGGTAATAACCCCTAGAGATTAGGCTGAGTGTCTCCAGGGAGGTATAAGCCTGAGAAGTTTCCAGGGAGGACAGTACTAAGAAAATCATCCTGACTTTTGAATTTTCTGAGGTGTATTATAATTACATACCAGAGAATTTTAGCTAAAACAAAGCAAACAGCTGCACAACTCTGTGTGACCACTAGATGGTGACAAAGTGCAAAGAGAACTCTATGGCTGCCACCTAGTGGCTGGTTAGATTTCTGCTGCTTTGATTTTATAGCCTCTATTGCAGTGATGGCGAACCTTTTAGAGACCGAGTGCCCAAACTGCAACCTAAAACCCACTTATTTATTGCAACGTGCCAGGGCCACATCAACATTATGTCCTTGGGGGGGGCAGCAGGGTAGGTGTGGGCATGGATGTGGTCACGGCAGACTGGATGGACGTGCCCACCTCGATGTTCCTGTGGGGGCCGGGCAGAGTTGGGGGAGACCCAGGAGGTCTCTGGCAGGCGGGGCGGTGGGCAGGAGGCTCATCCTGCAGGATAAGGCGAGGCGGGCCAGGGCGGGGGTGCCATTGCCACGGGGCAAGGCGAGGTGGGCCGGGGCGGCTGCTGCCTGACACCATCGGCCCCCACATACAGAGGCCAGTGAGTGCATGGAGGTTGACGGTGTCCGTCAGTAGCCATAGCCTGACGGCTCCTCGACCGGTGCACTCTGTGTGCCTCCCCATCTCTGCTGGGCCTGGGCGGCCATAAAACCAATTGGGATCCAGCTTTCCCCACTCAGGGTGGCTTTTTGCCTGCTGGCCCTGGGCGTGTTCTACCACCTCTACGTGGGGCTTCCTAGCCGACTACTTCGCCTCCTTCATGCTGGGCAGGCCTGCAGCTCTGTGCGACGGCCTAATGGACCTGCGTGAGCAGCTGGCAGCCGTGGTAGGTATCGAGGTGCGCAAGGGGAATGCGCTCCACCCTCAGGCCAAGGGCAAGATCCTCAAGGGGGTGATGGCACTCATGCCCACAGAGAGGGCTCTGAGTGTCACCTCTGGCACATGTACCATAGGTTCGCCAACACTGTCCTACCCTATCTGGAGGGTGCAACATGGTGGGAAATGTTGAGAGAGATCTCATTAAAAGTTATTTAAATCTTTATGATGGGGATATAAATGTATTGGACTTCTTTTGAAAACATTTAACTGTGAGTAGGGAAGAGTTCCAATAATAGAAAAAGGAAGAAATAGTTTCAAATTTGAGTCAATTTCTTTCGCTGGGCAAGGCACTATGTATCAAAAATGCTATTATAGCATTTTAGCAGATTCCCTAGAAAGCAAAGCAAAGTAAAGCAAAACAAACCAATCCTGGATTTTTTTTTTCTTAAAAAAAAAAAGACTGGGAAAAAAATAACAAATTCAAAATAAAACCAAGGGCTGCCCAGCAAGATT